AAAAAAAAAAAAAAAAAAAAAAAAAAAAATCTATCTACCTTAATAGATAAATCCCAAAATAATTGGGGGAGGGGGCTTTTTTGATACAAGGTCTTATCAGGGAGTCCCGGTTGGCCTTCAATTCACTACACAGGCCAGGCTAACCTCAAATTCACCACAATCCTCCTGCCCAGCCTCCTAAATACCAGGATTACAGCTATGCACCACCACACTCAGTCTAAAACATCTTCTAAAAAGAATGCAGAAATTAGAAATTTTCTAACTTTAGAAACTGAAAGTTTTAAGGCTGGGGATTTAAATCAGTGATGCCACTCCTGCCTTGCAAGCACACAGTTCTGAGTTCCATCACTGTTACTGAGGAAGAAAACAAAACAAAATCCTAAAAGTTCTTTGGCATCATCTGATGTTCAAAGTAAAGCTAGTATTTCTCTGTGCAGGAATTTTCAAATGGGGATTCTCATTCTACTCCATCCTGGAGCTTTATTTTATAAAATGTCACATGCCTAAGCCCCGACCCTGATCTAATCATTTAGTCTCTATTATCCCTTTTAATGTTCTACACGTGATTATAATGTTTCTTTCATTAATAATACTATTCCAGTGCATTTAAAAGATAATGGCAACTGCCAGTGCAGCAATGCTTCAACATTAAAGTACTTAATATCTAATACAGCAAAAGAAAAAACAATACAAAGAGACTGCATTATTTCTTTTAAGTCCCTTTAAGATACTCTCCCCCCATGCTGTCATTTAACTATATTTGCCCAAGGACACTTGAGGTCAAACATTGTTATCTTATGTTTATGTTTGTTCCTTCATCAGGACCTAATGTTTAGTAAAAAATCTTACTTAGTGGGGGGGTGTCTCAAAATTATCTACTGCAAAAGACTGCTAAACGTTGTTTCATTTACTTGAACACACAGAGGCTTCCATATTTCATTTAGTGTTGGTTTTCTTTTCAACAAAGGAAATTAGTCATAACACTTGGGGAGATGACATAGAACTGAGTAAAAAAGAAAAAAAAAAAAGAGTAGGTAGCTCTTCTTCCTTTTCCCAACTAAGGAGGACTCTCCCAATCCAATGATTAGGAAGCCTTGTCACTCAAATCTTAGGCAACGTTATCAAAGGGAGATGATGAACATTCACAGTAACTGAATACAAATTCCCGAAGGAGGCAATTTTCTAGTAGCTTTGCAATAAGCATGCTGTTAGTTTGGAGGTTTTCTTTTAGGTAGAATAACTGCAAAACCCTTCAAAACCCAATGATAAAACTTGCTGCAAGGGTCTATTCAATTCTTGGCCTACCAAGTCGAGTCTCAAGAGAAAGTATGAACACCCTAGAACTCTTCCAAACCCAGCCATTTCTTAATAAAAACTGACAAACTGTCAGGCTGACTTCATTTCTGTCATTCTCAAAACATTCTAACTCTGCAGCTTTAGAGGGGGAAAAAATCCGTTTACAAGATCAAACAAGGGCCAGGGATTTAGCTCAGTGGTTCGGTGGCCTGCCTTGCAAGTGCAAGGACCAGAGTTCAATCCCCGGTACCAGGAAAAAAAAAAAAAAAAGATCAAACAAGTTCTGGAAATGCAGCCACACAACAATGTGTTTTAACATCTCTGAACTACACCCTTAAAAATGATTAAGATGGCAAACTTGCATTATGGGGATTTTACTCACAATTTTAAAAAAACTAATCTCACCTAATTGACCTTTTACTTTCTGAATCTTAGGGCCATGCCAGAAGCTTCAGAGTCAACCAATCCATCTTGGCTTTTTTGTCAAATAATTTTTTAATCATTTTTTTCATTTTTTAATCTTTAGTACAATTCTAGTCCTTTCTTTTGAGTTTGCTTCTAAGATATGCAAACTCCTGTTCTCTCAGTCACAGAAATTAAATTAATATGTGAGTATGCATTGATTTCCAATAAATACAGCACAGGATTATGTTCCTGCAGCCCGTGCTGCCCACTCACAGAATTAAATAACTGAATCTGAGTTTACCACTGTTGGTTACCTGTGTATCAGAGAAGCCAATAACCTAAATCGGGGAAGGGGCTGACACAGCTTGTCTGTGTACATGCCTGGCTGTCTCTGTCCTTACACACAGGGCAGCTGAAAGGTCTCCAAAGTCTGTATAAATCTGAGGTTATAATTTCTGAGCTATTCATTTCAAGAGAACTGTGACACGTGTAGGCTCTTTGTCTGTATTATTTTTACCAGCACAATTTTGTCTGTCTTCACCAGGACCTGAGAATAATCGGGGCACGTACACATACTCTTTAATATATCTCACATATTTCTTCTTTATTAAAAAAAAAAATCAATATTCATTTTAACATGAAATAATACTTTGAAAAGTTAGCAGAATCAGCTTCAACAGGATTGCTGAATAATTCCTCAAAGCTTAATAAAACAAGTGTTCAACTAAGTATTTCTGGTGTAGTAATATCCAAAATCCATTACTTTTTTTTAATGGCTCTACTTTGGAAGAAACACAACTCAAAATAATAATAATACGCTATTACATTATAGTGTGCTCCAATTTCTAATTCCTGAAAGAAATGCAGCATTTGGAAACAAACCCAGCACCTCTGGATCTTACTACAGCATCAACAACAGTCAGGCCCAAAGCCTCTTTAGAGCAACACAGCAAATCTTTTATTTACACAGCTGTTTGGCTCCGGGGAGACATAAAGTAAAGCACTATTTTACTCACTACTACAAACACACTTTTCATCTGTTACACATGTGCACTCTTTGGGTTATTACACCAGCCAAAAGGGAAAACAGACAATTAATGAGACTGGGACCTGTATGAGCTCAAAAAGATATAATAGATACACTTATAATTGTCTCTCCTTTTTCATATACCAACAGAATTATTCTAAAATCTCGCGAAGGGCCCACCCTCCTTTCACAGACAGAAAAAAAATAAAGCAAACTCTTGTTTGATATATAATTTAGGTATTCTACGTTCCTCACAAAGTATTTGCTTAGACTGAATCGAGCTTCCCAAATATCATAGATTAGATCTAAAAACAACTCCTCTTCCAAATAAAAACCTTTCCTGAAAGTTTGAATTTAACTATTATGCCATAAAGCAGCATAACTTGCTTTTAAGAAGGATATATACATGTTTCTAAGAATGGGGTAGAAGCAAATCTCAGTTCTTTTCTATATTCACCATTTAGACAAAAGAAAGAATTACAATGAATCTTACAAGATGAGTGAGTAAAAGCGTAGTTAATGCTTCTTAGTGAGCCATGCTAAAAACCTAACTCAGCTAGACACAGGAAATGTCCCTCTTTTAAACACCACAAAAATGTCTGTGGATTTCTTTAATAGGAAAGTTGATAAAATATATAAATAGCTTGCATTCTCCTAGGTAATTGGAATGAGAGACTTAAACTACCAGATTGAGCCCTAGAAATTATATTTACATATATAAATGTCAAGTGTTTCTATACCTGTTCATTATGAATTGTTAGGAATCAAACCAAAAAATGATACATATAAGGTATTAATCTTTTAAATGTGACACTCCAAAGAAAAACTATAATTGGGTGAAACAGTTTTCCATTTTCTATCCATTTTTAAATTAAATTAATTATATTGGTTCAGTGATTTTTGTTTTGTTTAGTTTAAATGCTTGAATAAAGGTGAGGCACAAATTTAGGATGAAAATAATTCATTCAGTAAGTGGAAGGCCTCCCTTCAGTAAAGAAAGGATAGGTTTTTGGGGGTTTTTTGGTTTTTTGGTTTTTTTTTTTTTTGAGACAGGGTCTCACTGTATAGTTGAGACTGACCTGGAACTCACTATGTAGTCCAGGCTGGTCTCGAACTCATAGCGATCCTCCTGCCTCAGCCTCCAGAGTGCTGGGATTACAGGCGTGCACCACCACGCCCGGCCTAGAAAGGATAGTTTATAAATAAAGTATGTAAGACACCTACCATATCGCATAATGATTTAGCTCAGATACATACACAAAACATCAAAATTAAAAGATCCACATCTACATAGACATTTCACTTCTTGTTTTCTTATTTCTATTGGCTAACTCCTTGCCTGGTTAGTTGTAATCTGGCACAATTACACTCCAGCAACGCAACCCTCCAATACATCTAGGTTTTAGAACTAATACAAATCAGAACTTTTCAAGTGCTGTTTGACAGTTTCAAGTTGGAGGAATTTTAAAGAAATGCCAAGGAAAGTAATGAAAATTTTAATCTATACTTAAGGGCTGATTCTAGAAGTAACTGAGGGGAAGCTTATTTTGCTATAACACTTCAATCAAAGTTTCTTTCAATATGGACAAAAAAGTTTTTTTAAAATTGCATTACTAAGTTCTGGCTTTCAAAATTAATCCATGCTCTTATAAAGCGATAATACCACTTTTGTAATTATTTTGGAAAATAAAAATCATTCTTTACGACTGTCCAGTCATACAACTACCAGGATGGCCCGGAACACAAAGGTGAATCCTAGAGGCTTTGTCATTTCGATGAC